TTGAGGCGGACTGTTTGCTCACCTGTCGCGTGGGCGTATCAATAGGGTCCAAGTCCCGGGGTTGCTATGACATCTCAGTGGAACGCTGTATATCTGTGGTCACCCCCATAAGGAAACTGAGAAGCTAAGTAACTTGCTCGAGATTACTGATAAGGAGAGGAGCCAGGATTCAAACCAGAGCCACTTGGCCCCCGTCTATTTCTTGACTTGTATGTGTACAGCTAGCCTCCCAAGAGCAGGAAACTGACCTTGACCTTGAAGGACAAGCCACCAAACAGAGGCACCCACCAGAGGTGGAAAGGACCAAGAACTTTCCCTTTACACCCTTCCCAGCCCCCTCCCTCAGGTTCTCTTCCTCCCACCTTCTCCACCGGACCTCCTCCATCAGGCTCGCTCTTCTCCCCGTCTCCCCCTTTCCCACATCTAAGCATTTCCTTCCGGCCTCTCTTCCCGCCCTCACCAGCCCCAATCACCACCTCCCTGGGAGTGTCTGGAGGGCGTGACGTCCGAGTGGGGCTTTGAAGGACCCGTAGCTAACCAGGGGAAGGGGGGAGGGGGAATCAAGATTGACTGTTTTTTTACCCAAAACGGCAACCTCCTTAGAATCTCTCTGCCTCAGTTTCCCCATCCATAGACCTGAGAGTAATAAGAGTACCTGAGACCCTCCCAGGCTTTCTGTAAAGACTACGTTCATTCATCTGCTTGGGCTCTCCTAGCCAAATCTATAGACTGGTTTGACTGGTTTAAACAAGGGCGTTATTTTCCCACCGTTCTGGAGGCTGGACGTGGATGCAGGTATTTCTGGGAAGACATGATAAAGGTCTGGACTTGGCCGAGGCTTGAAAATGGGGGTGGAGGGTGGAGGCAGGAGTTGGGGGTGGGAATGACCAAACCCAATGTCCTTCAAAGTCGGAGGAGTAATCCCCAACCGGCCCATGGGTTACATGAACTATATAAACAAGACCGCGGAGTCCCTGGGACGAGCTCAGTGAGCCCTGACCCGCTGCCTGCTGCTCGCTGCCCACTGCCTGTGGGGACGGGCATTCCTGTGTTCTCACCCGAAGAAGACAAACACCGGGGGAGGGCACTCACACACTCGCACATGCCCTCTGCCCTCTGTCATCAGCCTTCTCCATCCGCGTCTGTGAAGGGGAGGGCGCAGGCCCCATGAAGGTGCTGGACGTGGGCGACATAAAGCCAGGGGAGAGCTGACACCGCAGGGGTCCCCGGGAGGGGCGGTGGGAGGGGCGGGGGCCCAGGCCGGGACTCAGGAACCCAGCTCTGCATCAACTGGAGGTGCCACCCTTGGCGCTTCCCGGTGCCCCTCTGGGAATCAATCCCCCCTTCTTTAACATTTTAATATGGAGCTGGCACATGTTTGGCTCAGTGGATAGAGCGTCGGTCCTGGGTTCGATTCTGGACAAGGGCATGTACCTTGGTTGCGGGCACATTCATGATTCTCTCTCATCGATGTTTCTGGCTCTCTATCCCTCTCTCTTCCTCTCTGTGAAAAAAATCAATAAAATATATATTTTTAAAAACATTTTAATATGGAGACTCTGAAAGTTAACTTAGAGTGGATAGAATTATATAATGATCCTTATGTGCTCAAATATGATCTCCAGCCCCGCTTTATTTTCTGCCACACACCCCTGTCCCCCTCTCCCCCCCTCCCACCCCAATCCTCTCTGAGCCAATCCAGATTTCAGTTGCTATAAAGATAAGGATTCTAAAAATATATATATTTTGTTATTGATTTCAGAGAGGAAGGGAGAGGGAGAGAGAGATAGAAACATCAATGATGAGAGAGAATTATTAATTGGCTGCCTCCTGCATGACCCCTACTAGGGATAGAGCCCACAGCCCTGGGCATATGTCCTGATCAGGAATCGAACCGTGACCTCCTAGTTCAACCATTGAGCCATGCCCGCTGGGCGATAAGGACTTTTTTTAGAAACTGTAACTGGGGGACCATGATAACAGCTAAAAAACATTGACAATGGTTCCTTTATTAGAAGTATTCACTCACCATTCAAATTTCCACTTGTCTCATCTTTAGTATTTTTTTAGGAATTTGTGTGAACCACGCCTCGAATCAAGTTCTGCATTGATTGGTTGACATGTCTTTTAGGCTTACCTATACATTCCCTCTGTGTTTCTATCTTTTTCTTGCTTACACCAGGTGGATGTTTCTCATAGGGTCAGTGTGTTTGTCTGAGAATTAACTGAGACAGCGTCTGCGAATGGGCGCTCCCACTGGAAGGCACCCACCAGCATCACTCGTTAATGGATATTTTCGGCCTTTCAATAGCCTGAGGCTGCTGCTCGTTGCCCATAGAGCTGAGGGTCAGAGAAGCTGAGCAGCCTGCCATGCTCATGCAGCTGCTGGTGATAGAGGCAGGGATTGGCACGCTAGAACTGAGACTTTGACGTCAGGCAGAGACCCAGGTTCGAATCCCACTGCCCCTCTTTCATAGCCTCGGGTTTCTGCTCTTTGCGCTCCCGTTCCCTCATTTGAGAGAAAACAGCCAGCAGGCCGGACTGCATGAGACTAAAAGGAGATGCTAATGTGAGAGGAGCCCTGTGGGGTGCCGGCACTGCCAGGGCCTCACCGCATCACGTCTGCAGCCCAGCCTCCGCCCTCACTCACAGCTCTGGCGGTGACCAACCTGGACCCTGGACCCTCTGAGGCTGCCCAGCCCCCCGCAGGCCAGCAGCCGGGTGGGCGGCCCCCAGAAGCTGAGCACACTCTGTTCTCAGGGCAGCTTGTGGCCTCTGGGCTCCGGGGAACAATCAGCTATTCTTCCTCCTGCCCCCTCTGTTCTGCTGCTCATCCCTGGGGCCCAGGAGTCCAGCGGGAACACTCCGATGCCCAGCAGTGCCCGGCCCACCCTGCAGCCCAGATGTGTGGTTTCCAGGCATCGGCCTCAGCCTGAGCCTAAGCCAGAGTTCAGACCAGAGCTGGCACCAACATTGCTTTGTCTACTCAGCCTCGTGTCACTCACTCAGTATCTAGGCCCTGCAAATAATAACAAGAATCACAGCCCAAACTTACCCAGAGCCCACTCTGTGCCAGGCACAGCGCTAAGCACTGTGTCGATTAGGCAGGTACTATGATCGTTCCCATTTCACAGACGCGGAAACTGAGAGCTTGAATAACTCACCCACGTCACATGGCCCGTGAGCGACAGAGCTGGGGTTTGACTAAAGGTCTGCCTGCAAAGAGACAGACGTGACAGGGAGGAACTTAGGTCCAGCCGTCAGCTGCTACGGATGCCAAGCTTCGGGCTGGTTGCCTCAATTTATTATCTCGTTTAGTCCCCACAACACATGTGCATGTGGGAAACGGAGGCTCAGAGAGGCTGACGGGGTGCCTGAGTGCACACAGCTGCATCCATCTGACCCCGAGATTGTGCTTTCCAAGCTGAGAACGTGGGTGCTCAGCATTGGCCCACAGGTGAGGAGGTGGCGGGCCTGCAGGCGGAGAGAACGGACAACGGGCTGCAGGAACTCAGGGGGAGAGCCGTTTCCCAGAGCTTCCTGGATGAGGGGTCGTGTGCAGAGCTGGGGCCCAGCCCAGTGTCAGGAGCCCCGGCGGCAGGGCTGGCCCTTGCCGGTTTGGGGCTGTGCAGACTGGACCTCCCAGGGGACAGCTGTCTGAAGGCCCACAGTGAGGCCCAGGCCTCGGCGCTCCTCCCTGAACCGTCTGGAAGCGAGGAGGGACTGGGAGGTGGTGGCTGCCCATGTCTTTACAGGCACGAGACTGGCTACTGTCTGTCTCCCCAGCAGACTCAGTGCTCGGAGGACTGGTCTGTCTCGGTGACCTCTCGTCATCCAGTTCTAAGCACAGTGTTGGGCACAGGGTGGGCACTCAGAGACTTCAGTGAAGGGAGGGAATGAGGGAGCGAGAAAGGATGGAAGGAGGCAGAGGTGGGGGTGGGGGAGGGGGCAGCAATGGAGGAAGGGAGGGATAGGATCTTGGACCAAATCAGGGCCTTAGATTCCAACCCATCCAGGACCATCAGGACCCTGGGTGAGTATCACCTTTCCGGAGGAGTAATTTCCAGAGGAAATATTTGCTGGACACAAGAGGTCTCCCCGGAGAAGGGACATTTGTGACTGGGACCCTCCAGCCAGGGTCAGAGCCCAGCGTGCCCCAGAGACCGAGGACTGAAGGCGGGAAACGCCGGAGATGCAGGCTGGCTGAGAAGAAGGAAGACCTTCCCATCAGGGAGCGACCCACGGGCCAGGGTGCACCAGGCCTGGGTGTGCAAGCAGGCAAGGCAACCCCACTGCAGCCGAAGGCTGACACCACGAGGCCAGGGCTGGCTCCGAAGCCCCCCTCCCCCGCCCCCGCCCCCCAGTTCTCCAAAGAAGCCATCTGTGCTTCCTGTTCTGGCTCCGCTGCTCTGACACCATCACCCTGTGCCTGAGGCCGCCTGTGCCAGGCCCTGTGCTAAGTGCCCCCCCCCCCCCCCGCCCCACTGAACCCCTGCCACATTCCATCTCTGGGACGTTGGTCACTGTGATGCCACTGCACCGATGAGAAAGCAGAGGCTCAGAGAGGCCAGGTCACTTCGGAGTCAGAGCCGGCAATGCCACCGGAGCCGGAAACCAGGCCCGCCAGATCCCAAAGCCGCCGCCCCACTCGCCAGGCCGACCCCAGCACCCTCTGGTCCCGAGATTCGATCTCCGTGGCCCGAAACCACAGCTCTTCCTCCGGGGGTGGCCCTCAGGGCGTCCGGGGCCACCACAGCCTGGCCCTCCCCCGACCACAGCCCAGCCACAGCCCGCTCCGTGGTTTCCCGAACGCACGCTCCCCTGGCAGCGGCTTTCACCGTAACGGCCCCCACAGGGGGCTGCCGGTCAATGTTCCCTGCTGGGTCCTCAGGTGCTTCTAAAGCGGAAGGTGGCTGAGGTCCAAGGGGGGCCGTGGGCTGCCCCCTCCCCTTCACCCCCATAAATGACCTCTGTGTTTATCTCACACCGGCCACAGCACGTCATTTCAGCTTAATTTTATTTCCTCTTATAAATGGGCACAGCACGGGGCGTGTTAAAAAACCAACAAAAATCCCAAACGGTTCCTTCACGGGCCTGGGACAGGGGAGCACCCACGGGGGCAGGCGCCTTGGTCGTTCTCCAGTCTTCGTCCTCGACTCCTCCTTAACGTTTTGGCCATGAACTCAGGGTGGGGGTGGTTAATCAACAGGTTATGGAGGGGCAGGGGACAGGGAGGGCCCGGGGCAGGGAAGGACAGACCCCCACCCGCCCCGGGACAGGTTCTCAGAGGGCTCTGTACAGGGGGGAGGAAGACGGGAGGGACAGTCTTCGGGGGGCTCCCTGGAGCCACGCTGCCTACAGAATGTACATGCATTCGCCGCGCCAGGCCGGGGGCGCTGCGCTGCCGGTGGGCACCCAGGGGCGCTGCGCTGCCGGGTGGGCACCAAGGGGCGCTGGGCCATCAGCCCTCAGGCAGTGACTCCGGGCCCGGTCTCAGCATCTCTGTCCATCTGTACAGTTTGTGAGCTCCTATTTACAGGCAGGAGGCCTGGAAAGCAAGTCCAGGGTGGTGGCTGTCAGGAGAGACTCACGAGAGCTGAGGCGGTGGCAGTCACTCCTGCCCGGGAGACAGGTGTTTGCTCCCTGTGCCCAGGGCCCCAGCTGGAGGCCGGGACAGAGGACTGTGCCAACCCCAGGGGGGTCCAGCGCTGAGCATCCCAGGCCACTGCCCACAGACCTGCCTGGCCCAGCCTTTCGGTGAGGTGCTCCCTCTGGCCCCTGGGAAGACAGAGCCCGGCTCCAGACACCACAACTGGGGGTGGGTCCAACCTTCCCTTTCCAGCCAGGCCCCAGGGAGGTCCCCAATCCACCATGATCCCCCTCCTTTGGCATCGGCCATGCTTCCAGGGAAGGCCAGGGCCCACCAGACACCCCCCCCCCTGGGAGCATGGGGGTGTCTGGGGATCTGGGCAGGCCCTGCCCCCACATTGCACCTAGGAGAGCGCCAGCTCATCCTTTGAACCGACCTCGTGGATCGTCTTGCCCGCCTCAGGCTGGCCGGAGTGGACTTGGGCTGGCAAGACGGTTGGATTGCCTAAGGATAAAGCCTGCACACGTGCCCAGGGCTCAGTGGAGGCCCTCAGCCTCTCCTCTCGAATGCTACGGGCGCAGAGAAGAGGTTGGGGCCAGAAGGTAATGCCCCAAGTTAGAAGCCAGGCCCCGAAGTGACCCACGCAGGCCACCCAAGCCCCCTCCAGCCAGTCAGAGCCCGTCACGCATCCTACGCTGGACCCGCCCCCATCCCGCCACAGGTCTCTGGTTTCCCAGCCTCGGCCTGCCCAGGCCTTCTCACCAGAGCTGCTGTCCCAAGACAGCAACCCACCAGGGACCAGGGAAGGAGGGGGCTGGGGCCTTGGTGCCATCCATCCGGGCCCCAAGCCTTCCTCTCCAGGGGTGATCGAGGCCAGGTCACCGTCAACAGTTTGTGGGCCCAGATGCCTCTCCCCATCACATCCCCCTCCAAGGCTGGGACTAGCTGGGTTCCTCACAAGCCCCCCGGCCCCGCTGAGATGGGTTTGGGGTCTGCAGGATAGAGCCCCAGCCTGGGAAGAGGAGGAGGGTGAGCAGACAGGCCATGGAAGCCCGGAGCCTCGCCCTCACCGCTGCAGGCACCCCCGCCCTCACCCAGCAGAAGTCTGCTGCCGGTGCATCTTGAAAAGGGAACAGAAATAAAACCTGGGGTCCTGGCTTTCACCTGGGTTGCAGGTGAGGGGTGGGGGTGTGAGCACCAGCCAGCTTCCGAGCAGACCACACCCCAGGCTCCAAGAGCCCCCAAAGGAGAATTGTGACCCCACCTTTAAAACAGCCACAGAAGCGGCCCCACTTGCAAGGGTAAAGAAGGGGGAGGTGTGCTGGGGGCCGTGACACCCGTCCCCACCTGCTCTCAGCCCTCAGCCTGGGGCAGGGCGTCTGGATGGGCAGCTTCCAGCTCCAGGTCCATCCAGCTACAGCCGGAACTGCCAAGTTGTTTGGCCAAATACGCAGACAAGGTGTCAATGGGGGATGCCCAGGGAGGACCCTGGGCAGGGCTGAGGGGAGAGGGTGCAGAGGGCCCGGGCAGCAGGGCCCACCCTCACAGGCACTTTGGAGACTTGTGTCCTGGGAGGCAGTCAGCCCCTAGCTCAGAGCAGGAGGGGGGTGCAGGGAGGCCAGGAGCCAGACCACCTGCTCCCTCTCCCCCATCCCCCTGCCCACCCGGGGCCTTTGGTCCTGGGAGATCCATGCCCCCTCCCCAGTCCTATAATTCCAGGAACCAGCCTGCCTTCCTAAGCAAGGCTCCCTGCAAGTGGGGGCCTGGCCCCACACCAACCCCTTTGCAGGCCTCAGAGAGGAGGAAAGCAGGCTGGGGTGTGCAATGCCCTGAGGGGCCTCGTGGCATCTCCTCCCACGCGCTTTCTGGGAAAGGCCAGTGCCCACCGGCCTTCCTCCAGCGCGAGCAGGCTGTGTGGGATGAGGCTGCATCCACGTGGGATTGTGTCTGACACACCGGGGTTGGTGGCAAGTGGTTGGCGGGGGGGGGGGGGGGGGGGGTTGCTATGGTGAGGGACTGAGTCTGACGGGGCAACTCGGGGGACCCAATATGGGCTGACTGCTGGGCCTGGTTCCACCCTCCCAGTGAGCCTGAAAGCTAGAGGACAGCGTGCCTGGTGCCGGATTGTATGTGCGTGTGTGAAGAGACACAGTGAGGGCAGCAGGCCACGCCGCCACCAGTGGGTGGCAGTGACTTGTGACTTGCATTGTCGTAGGCATTCGGGGGTGCGTGAGAAACACGTGAGAAGAAACGTCTTTGGGAGGATGTGTCTGTGACCTATCTGGGCTGGTGGGGTGGTGTCAAGATGGCGTACGGTTTTGTCATTTCGTGCGTCGGTCTTTGGATGTGACAACGTGTGACCTTGTGGGAGATGGTCTCTGTGCAGAGTCCACTTGCAAGAGGGAGGTACAAGCCCAGCCCTGCTCACCAGTGACTGCCAGGGCACTCTTGGGAAGCTAATTCCTCAGGGACAGACTGGGAAAGAGGTGAAACCTTCGGGTGCATATGCAGTGGGTGCGGTGAGGGTAGAGTGTACCCACAACTGGGGCAGGCCAGGACAAAACACTGCAACAAGGGGCACACTCTTACCCGGTATCGAGGGGCCCTGGGAAGAAGCAACAGGTGGCAGTGTCTCCATTTCAAGGGCTGAGCTTATAAAGGCTTGTCCTGGAAACTAGCCTGAGTCCCTCTCTGCCCTTAAAAGAAGACCTCAGCAAGCCCTGTGGGGCCAGGTTGGAGTTCAGGCCCAACTCAAGCCCCACCCTTTCTTCCACCAACCAATCAGGAGCTTCTTTCCTGCTACCCATCTGACACGAGGTCCTGAAGCCCCAGGTGAGTGGAAGACAAAAGATGAGCTCGTAAGGGCACAGTCTAGGCAGAGGACGGTGTCCCCTGAGCCTTGGGGAAGATCTGTGTGAGGCTGACAATCTGGGCAGACCTTGAGAGGGTGGGCAGAGATGGACTGGGGCCAGGCTTTCTCCCAGGCCCCGTCCGAGGCCAGGGCTGGTGGAACAGGCTGGGGACTGGGCAGAGGGGCGACGCTGAGGCTCTGGGGAGGCACTGTGGCTCCGCTAGGCGTAGAACTCCTCCTGCTTGTCAGGCTTCTGGTATGTGACGCTCGCCTGCTTGGGCTCCTCCAGAGTGTAGCTGCCCTCGTCTTTCTTCTTCATGCGGTAGATGAGCAGGGTGACCAGGAAGGCGGCGAAGAGGGCGCCCACCACCCCACCCACAATCACAGCTGTGGAGAAAGAGAGCAGAGGTCATGTCTAGAGGAGGGAGTTGGGCTGGGGGACGGGGGGGGAGGGGAGGTATGGCTTGGACCGAGGGGAATGCCTAAGGAGAGGGGCAATGGCCTGAGGGAAAGGGGCAAGAATGGGGAGAGGGCTAGGGGACTGGAATCTGAGACTGGAGTTGCTGCCATTGGTAGCCCTCACTGCAGCCTGGCCAGGTCTAGTTGCCTACCACACACTAACCCATCGAAGCCTCGTACAGCTCAAGGATGGGGCTATGGTCCCCATCGTCAGGGGAAAGATGCTCCAGTATTCCCTATACCGTTAGGAAAGAACAACTCTGCCAACTCAACTACCACCCATCCCAACCAGAGGCGTTAACGTATGAACAGATGTGCACTAAGAATTTAGTGCAAAACATCCATTCTACAGAGGATGAAAGGGGAGCCTTGGGAGGGGAAGTACCTGCCCGAGGCACACTGCTCCTCCTCAGTGGGGAGTGGGGAGTAGGGACTGGACCTTGTGTCCAGACTCTTCAGGAGCCTCAGCCAGGGCTGGTCCTCAGTGACTGGGGTCAAGGCTAGGGGCAGATCAAGCTAACGAATGGGCTCAGAAATCAGGACCCAAGGAGGGAGGTCCAGGAGGGCCAACCAGCGTGGCCCAAAAAGCAGGGGTCAAGGGCCAAGTCTGGACAGGGGACAGCGGGTGCTGAGGAAGGTGCTGGAGGTAACATGAAGTCAGAGTCAGGCCCTGGGATGGGTGAAGGTCGAGGGCAGGTCCTGGGTAACTAGGCTCCTAGGAAACGCACACCCTGACCACCATCCAGGGCTCCTGGAGGGCAAACCGAGGCCCAGCCAGCTGCCCCACCCTGAGCTCCTCCTGGGCCCACGTCTCACCTACAAGCACCTCCTTCCTCTCCAGGATGCTCTTCTGCGGCAGCTGAGCGGCCGAACTGCCCGAGTCGATGGCATTGTCCAGGAGGCCAGGGCCGGGGCGGGCCCCCTTGGGCAGCGTCCCAGGTGGAGGCGATGGCTTAGCCGCAGCCCCGCCCACTGCCACCACCTCATTGGCCGTGTCCGGCTGCGTGGTCTCTTCCTCCGGCAGCTCAAAGTCCCCACTCGGCCCCCCACTCACTGGCACCTCCAGCTCATCCCGGGTCGTGGTCAGCAGGGACTCTGGAGTTGGGGTCTATAGAGAAGATGGCATGAGCCCAGGCGCCAGGACCCAGCACCCCCTGCCACAGGGCAGCCGCACACACATGCACACATGCACACACATATACTCACATACACACAGTGGACTAGCACTTACCTAGCACCCTCTGTGCAGGCACTGTGCCAAGCACATTATGAGCATTTACCCTCATATGAAGGAAGTATTGTGAAGCCCAATTCACAGAACAGGAAATAGGCTCAGGAGGATAGCTTCTTCCACAGCCAGTAAGTGGAAGCAGCAGAACTGAAATGCACATCTATCCAACACCAGCATCTGTGTTCCTCACCATTTACTGCTACACTGGCTCTGTTCTCCCCTGGCCACCTCCTGTCCCCCTCCCATCTCCATCACGTCCCCTCCCGCTGCCTTGGGGGACTGAGTGTCTATTCTGGGACTTCTGGGTGCAGCTGGGACACACTTGGGCCGGGTCCCCAGTCCACATGCCTGAGGTGGAGGTGAGTCACTTAGTCTAGAGGGGAGTCTGAGAGCACAACTGCAGAGTGTGATGCCCCGTGGGGCCAGGTGTCCGGTGTGAGAGAGAGGAGAAGGCACAGGTCAAGTGCACGGCACTGAGCTTCAACCCAGCGACAAGGGGTCCCCAGGGGCAGGCTGCTCCCTCAGTCACCTTCAGACTAACACCACCACCAGTGCTTATGACAATAATACAGAAACACGTGGTTTGCTGACCACGGCCAGGCATTGTCCTCAGCCTGGTGGATATGTCAGGGAACTTAATTCTCTCAGCACTATGATTTGCATTCTTATTTTCTCCTTTCACAGATAAAGAACCAGAGGTACAGTCCTAGCTGGTTTGGCTCAGTGGATAAGAGCGTCGGCCTTCGGACTGAAGGGTCCCAGGTTCGATTCCGGTCAAGGGCACATGCCCGAGTTACAGGCTTGATCCCCAGTAGGGGGCGTGCAGGAGGCAGCCGATCAGTGATTCTCTCTCATCATTGATGTTTCTCTCTCTCCCTTCCTCTCTGAAATCATAAGAAACAGGTATAGAAGGTATAGAAAGGTTCGATGGCTTCCTGAAGGCCCATGGCTAAAAAGTGGCAGAGGAATTCTGACCTCGGCTGCCTGGGTCCCGAGTCTGCGCTGTTAACAGAACACGCAGGCCCTGGACACACATCACACCATCCCCTCCAGCACACACATCACCCTGTTCCTTCCGAATATTCTAAAACCCGGCCTGATCTCTCTTCCATCCCCCTCCCTCTCACCTCCATCCTCATCCTGTGACTCACACCCAGCAGGGGCACTCCAGCCACATCCCTCTCTCGCCCTCCCCATCCAGCCTGGCTCATTTCCAGAACCTTCCCATCCTCACCTCTGCCCGGCTCCATCCCCCGGCCCCAGACCCCGGCCCCCTCCTCTGCTCTCACTCCCTGTCCTCCCCCTGGCTTACCTGAGCCACCTCGGTTGGTCCGGGGGCAGTGGTCCCCAGGGGCAGGGTGCTCTGCTCTGGGGTGGCAGGCTCCTGGGTGGCAGCTGGCCTGGAGGGAAGGGCCCTTGGCCTGGAGGTAGCTGTACTGACCAGCCTGGGTGTTGGGGCCTCAGTGTCCAAGACAGCCGCCGTGGTGGGAGGGGAGGGCGCCTCTGGGGTGGTGGCCGGGGCCGTGGCCGCCGTGGTCAGGGGGAGAGGAAGCAGCCTCCGTACGCCGGTGGTCCTTTCGACAGAGGTGGTGGCCGTGGGAGGGGGTGCCGCGGGGATGCTGGGAGCGGCGGTGGCCGCCGTGGCCGGCACCAAGGCCACGGTGGGGGCCCCTGTGGTGGCCATGGGAGTGGAGATGGCGGTGGCTCTCCGGCTGGGCTCTTCTGGGACCTCCGTCGCCACTGGGAGGCTCGTGGCTGGCTCTGGTGTGGGGCGCTCGGCGGGGAGCTCCTCCAACGGGGTGCCCACGGGCTGGACGTCCACGGTAGGCAGCACGGCCGGTGTGGTGGACACTGCCAGGGCCACGTCTGGGCTGAGCCGCATGGCCGTCTCAATGCCTGACTCCTGCTCGAAGTCTGAGGGGTGGGGAGAGGAGAGAGCTAGGGATCCGGGCATGGGGAGCCCAGGGAAGCGATGGCCATCCGTGATGGGCCCCCAACCCTCACTCCTTGCACGGTGCTCCCAGGACACGAGGAGGGAGAGGGGGAAGGCACAGTCTGGCCAGAGGTTACCAGGCGGCTGCTCCCCTGCTCCTCTCTGCCTAGCCCCAAGTTCCTCGAGGGGACCGTCTCCTCCAGGAAGCCCTCTCTGACTGCCCCAGCCACCCAGGCTGGACTTCTCACAGGCTGAACCAGGCAGTGGGAGGGCCGACCGGCCGCAAAGCTCACCAGAGGTTGGGGCAGCAGGGGAAGGGCATTCTGGGAGGAGGCTCCCTGAGACACAGGCAGAGGGCGGGGGAGAACAAGAGCATCCTACAAGGGAACGCTTGAGCGATCTGGGGGACTCAAGCCACGTCAAGTGGAAGGGACTTGGGTGGAAATGAGGGTGAAAGAAGCTGCAGGCAGCTCCCTGGGGCTGAAGCAGGCGCAGGAGAAGCGGGGAGGGGCCGGGAGGGTTGGGAGTGGGGGCCGGACCCATCAGAGATGAAGTTAATGAAAATGAACCCGCAAGAGGCTTTGAAGAGTGGGCTAAAGCGAGGAGACAGGTGGCGGCGGAGGGCCAGTTCTGTGGCATGCAGACCTTCTACCGCCTCCGAGGCCCGTCCTGTCCTCTCCCTGGGCTCAGACCCAGCCACACCGCGCAGAGCTCCCTCTCTGTGCCAGAATCTGACGCAGAAGCCCTCCAGACTCCGCAAAGAGGGTGCATAGACACTGACAGGCCAGACTATTATGATCTCTGAACGCATAATAATCTGGCCACTCAGAGAGTGTGTGTGTGTACATATATACATACACACACATATATACACATATACACGGATATATATATATATATATATATGTATATATATATATATATATAATAGAGGCCTAGTGCGTGAATTCGTGCATGGGTGGGGTCCAGCCAGCCTGGCCAGGGGGAGGAGACAGGGTCGGTTGGCCAGCCTGCCTGCTGGTCTAATTCCTGGTCAAGGGGATAATTTGCATATTAGCCTTTTACTATGTAGGATATACACTGAGTGGCCAGATGATTATGTGCTCAGCGATCACTCCGTGTACATCACCTCTCACAGATAGGTCTCTGAGAGGAAAGGCTTTATAAAGGTGCTGCGGATGTTGGGTGGTGAAGCTGGGATTTGAACCCACCCTACTCCGCTGGCCCTTCCCAGGTGGGTGAGGACTTGCCCTGCCAAGTTCCCCGGAGTGCTGGAGCAGCACTGAACACCGGGCTCCTGGGGGATGTCTGTTCCCACCTGGAGGCGAGGACACAGAGCAGAGCCGAGGGAGCTGCGAGTCCTGAGCTGCGAGTCCTGGGCGTGGAGGCCGTAGGGCCCTGGTTCCATCCCCAGGACAACTGGCCCTCCGGAGCGTGAGGTCCACAGGGCACCCCAGCCTGGCCTCCCCTCCTCCCCCTCCCCCCGCCTCAGTGAGCCTGCGGGGGCCCTGGGACCAGCCTTGCGTGGGGACAGGAGGCAGACTGGCGTGGCCAGCCCGCCCCGCACGCACAGGGAAGGGGCGGTACTTACAGCCGGAGCCGGACCCCGAGTACAGGTCGTCCAGCTCGTCGTCGGGAAAGGAGTCGTCGTCCCCGGAGCCCTCCAGGTCCACGGGCCGCTCGAAGTTCTCGCTGCGCCAGCGCTGCGTCTGCGGAGGGCGGACAGGGGCCTGGGCTCAGCGCCCCGGACTCTCCCACGGGGACAGAGGGGCACGGAGGGGCGGCGCGGGCGTGGCCTCCAGGTGGGCGGAGCGGGGTGGGCGTGGTTACCACTTCCTGCCCGCCCGCCCGCCCGCCCGCCCGCCCGGGGGCCAGGGGAGCAGCCCGGGGGCCAGGGGAGCAGCCCGTCCTGCTGACGGCCACCACGGAGGACCCTCCACTGCGCTGCCCCCGGATCAGAACCGCTGGGCGGCAGAAGCAGGGTTAGAGCCGGAATGCTGGATGTGAGTCCTGGCTGCACCGCTTACTACATCTGTGCCGGACGTGGGGCAAGTTACTTGGTCTCTCTGTGCCTTAGTTTACTCATTACTCAGAGCCAACAGCACCTGCCCTGTCCGGCAACGTGCTAAGAGGTGTGCAGAGCTGAGCACCTCGTATACAGCAGGTGCTTGGCATAGGCTAGTGCCACCTTCCACGTGGGTCCTCTTCCAGAGGACAGAACGGAGGCCCCAGCTGCCCCAGATGTGACCGTCAGACGTCAGATGTGGCTTGGGACCCAGCGTCTTACACCTTGAAAATCCAGACAGGACCATCAGCCCCAGCAGACAGGTGTGTGAGATCTGGGGCTCTGGGAGGGAATTTCCATGGATAAGGGGGGGACGGGGGAGCCCAGGGCTAGGAGTGCAGGCTCCAGCCCTAGGTCCTCCCCAAAACTAGAAGTCAGCTCCTCTCACCTCCCCACAAAGGATCTCAAAGGCGGAGTCAGCTCAGGGCCTGATGCTGCGCCGAGGTCTCTGGGGGTCAGGAGAGCAGAGAGGGGCTCCTCCCAGGGTCCAGCTCACCAGGCCCAAGACTCCGCTACAATCAGAGCCTGGGGAGGCGGAGAACTGGGGCTCCCGGGTCCTTCCTGCAACCCTGGGCTGGGAGCCAGCACTGAGACATCCAAGACAAGCCTGCAACCCCCCCACCCCACCCCCAGAGGAGCAGGCTCGGCCCACCTCCTGCCACACCTTGACCCTGATTCCAGATGGAGCCCAGGCAGCGCTTGCCCCTGAGGGCTTTCCAGAGGAAGCGAGAGTGACTCCTGCTGCTCAGAGAGGAAGGTTCGCACCGAAGTCCACACAGAGGCTGGGGGGGGGGGGGGGGGGGGGGGGGCGGCGCAGCGTAGCCTGTGCTTTGGCGCTGGTCCTGCCGCCTCCAGCCTCATCAGGTCCCTCTGCACCGCCCATCACCGGTTCCAGCCGCCCTGGCCCCTCTGTGTCTGGCACAGGCCTGGTCTCTGCTGCCTCTCTCCCTCACGCCATTCCCTCCACCTAGAACACTCTTCCTTCTTCATCTCTGCCACAAACGCCTGCCCTTTCTTCCGAGAAGCCCTCCTGGTTTATCTTCCAGAGCGTCTCCTGCTGCTGGATTCACCTCTGTCACTGCTCTGAGCTGTGGCAAGGTGAGGCAGGGCACGCTGAGGCTGGGGAAGGCTCACAGAGGCCTCCCGTGGCCACCTGGCAGCTTTCTGAGTGCAGGCCGGGCACCCGCACCGTCCGCCTGGCATGGAAGCCATGCAGGGCATGTGAGCAGGAGGGACTGGATTAGCCTCTCAGCCGCCCTGACAGGCCCCTGTGGAGTTCGCACAGAGCCAGAGAGAGGATCCCAATCCCAGCTCCCTGCCCCGCCTCAGCCACCTGCTCCAGAGCCCTACCCAGGCAGGGCGGGAGGCCTGGGCAGGGGGCCAGGAGATGCCCTCCCCGGCCCCACCCCTGTTACCCCCCCCACCACCACCACCACACACACAGTCTCAGAGTAATGAATTAATCAGTGTTTACTTGCTACCAGTGAGTCATGGAGTGGAACAATTAGTGTAATTGCTCTCGTGACTAATTGCTGGGCTTCCTCCTCTGAGACATTCCAGGGGCTGAGCGCACCCACCGACCAACTTTCCCCGGCTCTTGGCTCCACGGCCCCCACCCTCCACCCCGCCCAGCCCAGAACAGCCCGGCGCCCCCCCACACACCCACCCTGGGGTGAGAAGGTTAGGAGGAAGGCTCCCCACACTGCCAGCCTCCAAACCGGGGCCAGCTGAGCCAGAGTCCCTGGGAGACTCTGCTCAGTTCTGAGGCAAATCACCTGAAGCCAGGACTCAGCTCCTCCCAGGCCGCCCAGCGGGATGGGGCCTGAGCGGGACCAGCGCTCGGGCTCCACTCCTGGGTGGGGCCACCCTCACTGTCTTTTCATCTTTCCAGGCAGGCCAGAGAGCTCTGGCTGGGAGGAGAGATTCTGAGAAGTCTGTGGTCCCCAGGGACTTCCAAACTGGGGTGAAGGTGAGAGCCAAAGCAGGGCAGCCTATGGCGCCTCGGTGACAAGTGCCACACAGCAGCCCCGAAACCCTGACCCCAGGAAGACCTGCGGAAAAATCCAGAGACCCCCCCCCACCCCAAAGCCACACAGACCCTTGAAATGAAACACAGAGACACCCAGAAACACAGAGAAGACACATACAGACACACCTAGACACACTCACCTAAAGGCAGCCACAGAGGGGCAGCGTGTGTTGGCATGTCTTTGGGCACAAATAGGCACGTGCATGGGGGGCGGGCACTGGGTAAGGGGTGCATACAGTGTAGCTCTGAGGCTCAGAGACAAGCATGGAGCCTCCTGTGAACCCATCAGCCTCCACGCAGGTAGCTCTCACCTAGATACCATTCATCCCCAGATCAGTAGCCATTGACATGACAACCGTTACCATGACGACCATCTCCTCCATGCTAAGGACCAGGAGCTCCAGCTCCCCACAGGGCGGGGGGTGGGGGGGAGCAGGAGCGGGAGAGCTCACGGAGGAACAGAGAGGATGGCAGGGAGGGGGGAGGGCAGAGCCATGGGACGAAGAGGCAGGGACAGTGGAAGGCCAGGGGTCAGGAGTCTGGGGGGCGGGAGGGGGGGAAGAGTGGAGGGAGGACTTGCCGTGTGAGAGAAAGCGAAGGCGAGAGTGGGAGGTGGAGGGAGAGAATTCTCTCACATCTTAATTTAGACTCACACTTACCAGACAAAGCTGGGGAAGGGGCCACCTCGGTGATTTTCCAAACCTGCGTCCAAGAGAGCATTCTTTCCAGAAAATACGCAGCCCCTCGATGGGGGGGAGGGGGGAGGGAGGGTGGCCAATAGCGCGGTCACCCCTGAACTTGCCCTGGGAAGCTAGGTGCTGGGAGCCCCTCAGGGGTGGGAGGTGGGACGCAGAATGCCATCTTGCCCAGCACCTCCCCCCAAGGTGACCGAGTGCCAGCTCTACCCGTCCCTGGGCCAGTGAGGACCAGGGCTCCGTGGGGCCCGCCCGGGGGCTGCTGGTGGCTGCGGCCCCCAGGGGGACGAAAGGGCAGAGGGAAAAGATGGGGGCGGAGAACAGCCTGGGAGGCAGCAGGGAAAGCCTCAAAAGTCACAAAATGCCAGAGGAGGGCAGCGACAAACAGCCTGTGACCCCCAAATGACCCCTCATTTGCATGCCCATGCATAATTAGCATGATAATTATTCCATTCCCTTAAAGGAGAACTGATTCAGAATGCCCAGGATCCTTTGGCCTCCCCATGGCCTGCACTGAACTCCTCCTCCAGGTAAACTCACACCCTCCTATGCCTGATACACACACACACACACGCACGCACGCACGCACGCACGCAAGCACACACACGCACACACACACTGCGGCTAACAGACAATCCAGTGCCATCCTCATGCACACGCCACACACACACCCCAGCACACACAGCCACGCCCTATAAAACACACAGCTATGCCCTCACACACATAGTAATTATGGGCAACGTTTGCTGACCCCAACCTGCGTGCCTATCTTAGCGCTTAGACAACAGAGACATGTGGGAAGTGGGTGACCATCCCATGATCGCCCACGTACTACACCCCTAGCTACATGTGCAAATGTGCGCGCGCGCACACACGTGTGCACCCTGTCCACACCTAACACACCACGAATGCATCACACAACTTCAGCACCATCTCATCACTTCACCTGGGCACCCACCGTCCCCTCCCTGTCCGAGCACCTCACCGCACACATCCCTTCGCAGGGACACCTGTGGGCTGACACTGAGCCCGGACTTGGAAACGCCTGTTTGCACCCCCACCCCTTACACACAGATGCGGAGAGGGTGCCTACGGCAGAAGCATGAACTCTGCTTCCCACATGGCCAGTCCCAGGAGCAGTCACCCAACCGGAGGTCCCTCGGCAGCCAGTGAGGGGCCCACCGCAGCCGAGGGCCGCCCTGCCCGGGTGCCTCCTCCGGCCCTCACGGCCGCCCAAAGCTCAACTGTCCCCACTGCACAGGCGCAGACCCCTGGGCGGAGGCACCAACAGGTCCTCAGTCCCTGGAACCCTTGCCCAGGGCTGTCCCCAACCCGCAGCTCACCCAGGGCTCCGGCACCATGACCCACAGCCCCTTCACCCCTGCATGACCCCAGCTCAGAACTGCCAGAGCCATCCACACACACGCAATGTCTATGCACACTGTGCACACACTCTAGCACCCAACAAACACCCCACCTGCTCTCACGCACCATCCCTACCCACACGTTCCTGAAGGCACCCACCCCACCCTATGCACGACCCCTCTCTGCTGCCCCCAACCAGCCCGGACACCTACAGCCCAGCCCCCTCCACACATGGGCACCATGCATGACACCTGGCACATTCAAACACAGACAATGCCAGGGGGATGGGGTGGCACCCTTCCCAGTGGACTGACACGGCCCTGTCCTCTTTCCTCAAGTCCCCTCATCACCCACCATTCCTCTGGAGCTGACTCCCACAGCCTCACCCTGGAGGCACCTCAGGCCCCCCCCCCCCCCAGCAGCCAGAGGGCTCCCCTCGCTTACCACTCACCCCTACAGGACCCTCCCCACAGAGGTACCGAAGCAGGTGGATGTCAGGTAAGTCTCCTTGCTTCACAGCCACGCACCAAGGATGGCGGACACCGTCCAGGAGAA